CGGAGCCGCTGTGTGACGCACGTACTTAACCTACACGCATGTAAATAATTAAAGCGCGTATCAGTATCGCATATAATTATTTAATTAAATCGTAGCGTTTGTGAATTCACAATTATGCTTAATTATGATTTTTAAATGGGTTTAATATATTGTGCAGCCTTGGGAAACAGTCTAATAATGTGTTTTATGGATTCTCGTCCGTGAAATGTGCCACTTCCGGTATTTTGCCGGTTAGTCGACGATTTTTATACATCGTATAGTCGAATAAAATCGACGAATCGTGACAGCCCTACTACAAACTACTAAAGTGTAAATTTACAGTATACACCATCAAGAAGTCTTATTCTCACTAAGGCTGCATTTACTTGATCAAAAATACAGGAAAAACAGCTATTTCCGGATTGTTTTAGCAAATCACACAAGGTGTGCACACAGTTACAGCCAATAATATTGTGGGAGAAATCTTATGTGTATGAGATGCGACTGAAAGTCCATGTTGTTTGTTGGCATGTTGTTCTTGTAATCGATGCATCTACAGCCTCATTCATGAAATGCAAGCACAATTTTCTGTATAAATCATCTGTAAAACCATCCTTACATAAATTGTCACATTCCATTCAGTGCAACAATTTCCAAAGAATGGATTATGAATGATTTACAGAGAAATTAGTTCTGTGTGCATTTCATGAATGAAGTCTGTAGTCTGTGAATGCTCATGTAAAGCATTGTCAAAATGACAGAACACAAGAAACTGTCTTCAACTGTGCACAGGATGAAGACCTTCTGTCTTGTAAATGCACTTGATCATTTGCAGAGTGCATGTAATTTAAGCTCATTTTCCTAGCTAGACTCATTGACAAAAATACCAGATACTTCTCAACAAACATTGCCCACAGAGAACAAGTGTTTGCCCTTTGGAGCCCGGCCACCCTCAATCGCCAGCATGAAAAACAGTGTTAATTTCGTCAACGACGAAAAATATTCGTTAACAAACATTTTTTCTGTGACTAAGAAGAGATATTGACAAGCTAAAACTAATATCTGAAGATAAAAACTATGACAAAATTTATGTCGTGTCTTCGTTAACAAGACGAGACCAGACTATAATGTTATTTGAGGACTACAGGACATTCAAAATACATCCTATAGGCTACTGTCTTGTCCTTCAAAATGTGCGTCCCTGTCATTGGCTTGCAATCGGATAAGGGTCGTTTGGCCGCAGGGTATGGATAGGCTACCAAAATGCGAATTAGCGATCTGAAACAATGGCCTCAGCACCCGAAGGGGTAGAGAAAAGGTGACCAGACGTCCCGTTTTTCCCAGGAGTCACAATTCATTGTCGATTAACTTAAAGTTAGTGAACGGCGTAATCGCGCTGATAGAAGTGCTCTCTCTCGCGCACGCTCCACTTCTTCAGTTCTCATATACAGCGCGCGATCAGTTCTCAGTGCTCAAATACACACACAGCAGTCCAAATGTCTATCGTGTGAGTATCTCACGTAAATATAGTCGGTTATGGATTAAGTGAACGAAAACAGGTGGGTGAAAACTGAACGTGTGTCAGTATTGCATGCATCCCTTCTGTCGTAAAGGGACAGCATTCCTAATTAAGTACCTATCCGTGTCATTAATGTTCATTAATGTTCATCACCAAATAAATATGTTAAGTAAACCTACTGTATCTGAAAAATTAGCTTAATTTGTATCTCTTTCGTATTCATCTTATTCTGCTTCTTTTTCAAAAATTATATATATTATACATGAACAACTATAATTTTTTATAAGTTGCTCCCTTTTCACTATTGTTCTCAGTGCTCAAATACACACACAGCAGTCCAAATGTCTATCGTGTGAGTATCTCACGTAAATATAGTCGGTTATGGATTAAGTGAACGAAAACAGGTGGGTGAAAACTGAACGTGTGTCAGTATTGCATGCATGCCTTCTGTCGTAAAGGGACAGCATTCCTAATTAAGTACCTATCCGTGTCATTAATGTTCACCACCAAATAAATATGTTAAGTAAACCTACTGTATCTGAAAAAGGAGCTTAATTTGTATCTCTTTCGTATTCGTCTTATTCTGCTTCTTTTTCAAAAATTATATATATTATACACGAACAACTATAATTTTTTATAAGTTGCTCCCTTTTCACTATTGTTAAAGGAATAGTTCACCCAAAAATGAAAATTGTCATAATTTATTCAAGTTTTTCCAAATTCAATACTTGATTCAAATTTCTCATAAGCTTAATTGATTTGGTCTAAAGAGGAAAATAATTAATGACTATTTTAGTTTGAAGACTACATATAAAATAGCTACCAAAATAAATGTTGGTAACTGCAGTTTGACTAAAAGTTGCCAAAAATGCAATGACTTTTCGCCGACTAAATCTAGACAAACTATGAAAGACTTAAATGACTAAAATGTGACTAAGACTATTAAGCATTTTCGTCTCAAGACAAAGACTAAATCAAAAATGCCTGTCAAAATTAACACTGCGCTGAAAGGGGTCACACAACCTAAACCTTTATCCGCTAAAAGAGACCCCTAATGAACTGTATTTCCATTCACACAGCTGGAGGTCTGTGAGTGTGCACTACCCTAGTTAGGGCACTAATATGGGCCAGCAACCTCTGCCGCCGAGAGCCAATGCCAACCTGAGCATCCTGAGATAGATGTACGGTGAGACAGATCCAAAAAATTAGCAGTTCCACGGATATTTGTTGTATCTCTGAAAGTGTCTGCCTTTTCAGATGCATCCTTGTTTGCTATTTTTTTCCCCTAAACCTTCCACTCCTTCACTGTCTCTGCGTGAAAGCCTCCTCTGTGCGACCGGCCAACTATCTGTCAAAGCAGAGGCTCTTTAGCACGTGAATGAAGTCCGTTGAGCTTTACGGGTGCTCTGAGCGAGTACGCGGTCATCCGCCAAAGCTGAGCACTTTCACTCAGCCCTGATCACGGCCCCGACACCAGGCAGAATCTTAAACAGCACGGCAACAAGACCGGCCTTTTATTTTGTCCATCCTCACGCCATTCACGTTTCACTCATTCTCCCTTTCTCTGTCCATCTCCCTCATTGACAATGTCAGGTTTGTGACAGAAGCATCTCTCTCAACAGTGTATTAATAATTTAATATATTCAAGCAGATATAAAAGAGAAAAAGAATGTTTAAACTAACGTTAGGAGCTTGAAATAAAAATCACAGCTCACAGCTGTAAATTTGCATATTTGTTTATGAATCGTTGCACATCGGCAGCTGGCCCTGAATAATGGACAACATGCACTTAGACTCAAAATTGCAGATCCATGCATTTTCATTATCATGGTTGTTTAGGTTTTCTGTTTAATTCTGTCTTATGAAATAAATCCAACAGCCACCCTATTTATATTTGTAGCATTTCTCAGACTTTTCAAAACAAACAAAATAAGTTTCTTCCAGTTTCTTTCCTGTAAAAACTTTCCACAGTAATTCATGTTAGTTAATGCAATAGTGAGTTTTATTTTTATTTCTACATATACTAACAATTAACTTTTTAACAATAAATGCTGTATAGGTTAACATTAAAGGAATTTATAAATTAATAAACAATAAAGAATCATTATCATTAACCAAGATTAATAAATGCTGCAAAATTAATAATAATTGTTTATCCATTTAAATTCATATAAGAAACATACAAAAAATCTAAAGTTTTTGAAAGCAGTCTCTTCTGCTCACCAAGGCTGCATTTATTTGATCAAAAATACAGTAAAATTGTGAAATATTATTACAATTGAAAATAAATGTTTTCTATGTGAATATATTGTAAAATATAATTTATTCCTGTGATCAAATCTGAATTTTCAGCATCATTACTCCAGTCTTCAGTGTCACATGATCTTCAGAAATCATTCTAATATGCTGATTTGCTGCTCAAGAAACATTTCTGATCATTATCAATGTTGTGCATTTAACAGTTGTGCTGCTTCATATTTTTGTGGAAACCGTGATACATTTATTTTTCAAGATTCTTTGATGAATGGAAAGTTGAAAATAACAGCATTTTTGGAAATAGAAATCTTTTGTATCATTATGATTGTCTTTACTGTCACTTTTGATCAATGTAATTTCCTTTTTTTTTTAAATACTGACCCCAAACCTTCATATTTATAGGTCTTAGCAATGCACGTTCTACAGTATACACTATTTCAAAATATTATGTCTCCATATCTGCAGTGCAAATTACTGTCAAGACAGCAATGAACATGAACATGATTTAATTGAAAATTAAACTGAGTTAAAATGAGAGTTGAGAGAAACAGAATAGAGACACACAGATAGAACGGAACAACAAAATGAACTATCATGACAACAAAGACTAATTTAATTGTAGTGAAATGAAAAAGAATTACACCAAGTAAATATAACTAATCTAAAATAAGTTATGAGAAATATACAGAAAAAGCAAACAGAAATGACAAGATTAACTCCAATGACAACAAAAACAGATTAACTGAAATGAAACTGAACCGAATTGAGAAAAAGACACACAGACAGACACAAAAACAATCAAAATGCTGCAACACTATGGACAATACGGCTAAATTCTTGCATAGTAGCTCTGTCTATTCAGACAAACACTTGAAGTTGTCAGTCACACACACACACACACACACACACACAGGTCAGTGCCAAAGGCTGAGAGAACAAAGAGAATTGGACACACAATGGGGGAGGTCTGGAGATGACGGCCAAACTGTTTATCAGCATACCTCAACAAAGACACGGAGAGAGGGAGGGGACAGAGAGAGAGAGAGAAGACGGGATGGAGCGCAGAGAGAGAGGACGAGATTGGAAAAGATACGGGATGGACACGAAGGGAGGGAAGACGTGGGCAAAATTGCTCTCATGCCAAAAAAAAGAAAGGAAAGCACAGAGCAACAAGATGAAAAGACTCACAGGAAGTGGATAGTTTTGTCCACAGATGGACAGATGAGGACAGAAAGAGTCTACTTACCAGGAGGAAGGTGTCAGCAAGGGCTCATTCCAGAGGAGCGCATCCGATAGACTTCAGATCTGTTTAATGCAATCCTTACAGACAGACAGAGAGAGAGAGAAATCACTTTAGTCAGACTCTCGCGGACGGGCTGCGTCCAGAGGAAAGGGGGGAGATGAAGGGGCTTCAGTAATGTATGCAGTGAAGCATTCAGCCCTGTGAAAAACAAACTGTTAACTTTTTCAATGGAGGGAGGCTGCTGGGGGCACGACGGTGGTGTGTGTGTGTGTGTGTGTGTGTGTGGCATGTGTGACGAGCTGATGCGGGGAACTAAAGGGTTAAAATTCCTCTAATTGTTCCCAAACGGAGGCTGGTGCACCTCAGATGCGTTCAGCAGCCCCAGTATTTCAACACTGATGCTATGCTTGAAAATGTCTGATATGAAATAAGATCACATAAGTGTCTTCTGTGCTCAAATGCTGTAGGATCTTTTCTCTTCACTACGCTTTTCCCACTGAAAATCACCAAAAACATTAGGCAAAAATTATACAATCACTCAGGTGTCCTAGCAGAGTGATGTTCATGGATCAAAAAGATTCACTCACATTTCACAAGTGTCATTATACTTGTTACCTTAATTAACATTAATCTTAATTAATATTGAAACATTGTTCAAAAGTTTGGGGTCGGGTCAATTTTTTTATGTTTTTAAAAGAAGTCTCTTCTGCTCACCCAAGCTGCATTTATTTGATTAAAAATACAGTAAAAACAGTAATATTCTGAAATATTATTACAATAACTGTTTTCTGTATGAATATATTTTGAAATGCAATTTATTGCTGTGACCAAAGCTGAATTTTCAGCATCATTACTCCAGTCTTCAGTATCACATGATCCTTCACAAATCACTCTAATATGCTGATGTGCTGCTCAAGAGACATTTCTGATTATTATCAGTGTTGAAAACAGCTGATTCATATTTATATAGAAACTGTGATATGTTTCTTTTTTCAGGATTCTTTGATGACTAGAAAGTTCAAAAGAACTGCATTTATTTAAAATATAACTTTTTTTGTAACATTAATAAATAATGTGTTTACCGTCACTTTTTATCATTTTAATGTATCCTTTCTGAATAAAATGTATTAATTTTATTCATATTAATTCATTCATATTAATTCATTTTAAAAAATCTTACTGACCCCAGAGATTTGAACAGTAGTGTATATGTGTGTATTTCCTCTGAAATGTAAAACGCACAATACTTCTGTGAATATTTTAGAGATTATGCAAATGAACTATTAAATCAGTTTTGTATCACTTTACTGAAATGGACAGTTTGAATTGATTTAAAGAAATTACTGCAATGCCATTTTTGTCAGTATCACATGATCCTTCACAAATCACTCTAATATGCTGATGTGCTGCTCAAGAGACATTTCTGATTATTATCAGTGTTGAAAACAGCTGATTCATATTTATATAGAAACTGTGATATGTTTCTTTTTTCAGGATTCTTTGATGACTAGAAAGTTCAAAAGAACTGCATTTATTTAAAATATAACTTTTTTTGTAACATTAATAAATAATGTGTTTACCGTCACTTTTGATCATTTTAATGTATCCTTTCTGAATAAAATGTATTAATTTTATTCATATTAATTCATTTTTAAAAATCTTACTGACCCCAGAGATTTGAACAGTAGTGTATATGTGTGTATTTCCTCTGAAATGTAAAACGCACAACACTTCTGTGAATATTTTAGAGATTATGCAAATGAACTATTAAATCAGTTTTGTATCACTTTACTGAAATGGACAGTTTGAATTGATTTAAAGAAATTACTGCAATGCCATTTTTGCTACTGGCAAAAGTTTAAACAAGTGAAGCGGGTTTAACACCAAAACCCGAAGCCCCTGTTTTATCACTTCAAACTTGACAAATGTCAGTGAAATGTTCTTCTTAGTAAGTAGGCCTACTGTATACTTTTTTCTTTCAAATAAATGTCATTTTGGTTGACATTTTATTTAATGCATTGACAATCAGCCATTTTTAAGTCTCTGAATACTTTTTGGGGCCACTGTGTATTCGACATGAGACCTTTGCTTACTCATTAGCTGAGAACAGCACTTTGAGAAGCTAGTTTCTAGTTGTCTAGTTTCTGTGGCAACAACACCCCTCCCCCTATGAAATCCCATAATACAGCTGTAATTTTCCTTTCAATCAATTCAAATTTGACATTTCACAGTGAGAATAGGTGAAAAGAGATCAAGAAACATGTTCAATCCCCTCTGTCATAATTCCGCTTTCCTCCCTCTCCAGAACCCCGTCGCACAGAAAAACACAATATGCAACGGGGCAGTTGATTTCGAGTTCAACTTTTGGACGACTTTCTCTTGAGATCAATCAATTCATTCACTCATTCATCCATCCATTAATTTGTGGCTCCATTCAACTGAGTCGCTTAATTCAGAAGACTGAAATTAGTTATTCATTAATTTATTCTCTGAGGTGAATGAGGAAAAGGATGATATTTTATGCAAGAGTTGTGCTAGATTCACAATGTAATAAGGTTTGCTAAGAATCAAAAGATCTCTCAACTACACCAGGGAAAATTCAGTCAGTTATGTTGAGCTAAAAGCTTAAAGGGGTCATATGATGCTGCTAAAAAGAACATTATTTTGTGTATTTGGTGTAATGAAATGTGTTTATGCGGTTTAAGCATTTTCCACATACTGTACATTATTGTTTCTCCTCTATGCCCCGCCTTTCTGAAACGCGTCGATTTTTACAAAGCTCATCAGTCTGAAAAAGCGAGGTGTGCTCTCATTGGCCAGCTATCCAATGCGTTGTGATTGGCCGAATTCCTCAAGCGTGTGACGGAAATGTTACGTCCCTACTATACTGTGATGCCTGCGGCAACCACATGTGACAACCCCGGGCTGGACTCCGCTTCGTCCACGGTGAAAGCCGATCGACAGCGCAAAGTTGAAGTATTTCCTCAGCGACCAGCACGGATCAGTTCTAGGCATGACGAAGCGATATCGTCCTCTTTTGGAAGGCCAAACAAAGTAGTTTCACTTTCACAACGAAGCACACAGTGCCTTCACGACATGGCGGCAGCGGCAACAACAATACTACAGCGAGAATAAAAGTTACGCCTTCTTTCTTTGTGTGAACATTTGGGCGGCGGTATGCAAATCTTCCCAGATAGTGACGTAGGTATGTGGGGGCGTGTTAGAACGAGCCGTTTTAGGTAGGCGTGGTTTTATAAAGAATATCTCTTTGGATTTGAGACTTTAGTCTTTGCAACTTTACAGATCTTCTTTATGCACCAAGAGCTTGTAACACTCCAAAGAGAAAGGAAAAATTGAAAATCGCATCATATGACCCCTTTAAAATACATGATAGTACACAACCAAAACACAGACAGATTGATAGTGGTACACTAATTGTGTAACACTAATTATTGTCCCATCTTGCTTTGTAAACACAGACAATAGGCATGCTCAAACTTCTTTGTCAGCAAGACCAATTTTTTACCAGCTTAACCAGCATGAACCTTCTGCTTTACTGACTTAACCAGCAAGTCAACAAGCTTGAGCAGAAAGACCTTGATTTTTGCTGTTGGACAGCATGGCATTGCTCGTCCACCAGCTAAACCAGCCATAACCAGCACTAAACCAGTACTAACTTAACAGTAAGCCAGAACAAGATTGGCACTAACCAGCATTTGAAGTATTTCCTCAGCGACTAACCAGCACTAACCAGCATTGGCACTAACCAGCACTAACCACTAACTACTAACCAACAACCTTGCCTCGCTTGATGAATCAGCCATTTGAACAAAATGATAGACTAAATGACTCACTCATTAAAAATGTATAAACAGTGGGAAATTACATCTGTTTTGTTATATACATCAACTAATTTCTACCTCTTTCCAATCATAGAGCACTTTATTTGTAGAGTTGTTTAAGTGAGAGAACAACTGTAACTTAGTCCAGATTAGGGGAATTGTAATGTTTAACCATTTCTTTTACTATGTAAATATTTTTTTTAATTGAAAAAAGTACATTTTAGTTTGTATATGCTGTCAATTATAGTTCTTAGAAAGAAAATCAGAATCGGCCAAGAAAATTGCAATCGGTGCATCTCAGCGTTAACTAGCAACAAACCAGTAATATTTAACCCTAAACCAGAATGAACCAGTTACAGATTAGCACTAACCAACATAAACCAGCCACCAAATTTCTAAAACAGCAAAATCATATTAGTTGACCAGCTTAACCAGCAAGAACCTTTTGCTTCACGTATTTAAACAGAACGTTAACAAGCTTGACTAGCACTAACCAGCCACAACTAGCACCAAACCAGTACTACTTAAAGGGTTAGTTCACCCAAAATAAGGACCTTGAACGCTGGACCTTGAACGTGGCAGTTACCTTGCTGTCTATGGAAGGGTCAGAGAGCCCTCATACTTAATAAAAAATATCTTAAATTGTGTTCCGAAGATGAACGAAGGTCTTACGGGTTTGGAACAGCACAAGGGTGAGTAATTAATGACAGAATTTTTATTTTTGTGTGAACAAACCCTTTAACTCTAAACCAGAATGGACCAGTTACAGATTAGCACTAACCAACATAAACCAGCCACCAAACTTCTAAATCAGCAAAATTCAACCAGTCAACCAGCTTGACCAGCACTAAATAGCCATAACTAACACCAAACTAGTAGGCCTACTACTTAACCCTAAACTACATTGAACCAGCTCATGATTAGCACTAGCTAGCATAAACCAGCCACCAAGCACCAAAATCACATAACCTAAACAGCTTAACTAGTAAAAATCCTCTGCTTTACTGATTTAACCAGAAAGTCAAAAAGCCTGGCGAGGAGGACCATGCTGTTTTGCTAATGGACAGCATCTTTGCTCATTTTCCAACTTGACCAGCCATAACAAGCACGAAACTAGTTCTACTCAACTCTAACTTAGAATGAACCATCTCCAGATTAGCACTAGCCATCATAAACCAGTCACCAAACTTATAAATCAGCAAAATCACATTAACTGACCAGTTAAACCACCACGA